ATATGCTTTGACATCATTATAACTATCGTGGTAGTTTTATTTCCCACCACACTAAGGTAATCAAAAAGTGATATTGAATGATTCCATTCTAACTGTAGTTTTTTGTAGCTCTTTGTAGTTGTAACTCTTCCACTAGCTCTAGCTAGTGGAATATTATCACTATACCGGGTGTTTTTCAATACTCGCTCACTTTTATAACTTTTTTTGTTTGTTAACATAAAAAACGAGATTTGGTACGGGAGTATACGGGGTGGTCCGAACTGTATTCGGGAAACTTTTGCAGCATATTCTTCCTATAAAAATGCTTCGTTTCGGAGATACAGTGTGTAAAAGTTTAATTTTTATTTCAATTTTTTCCAAATAATTTCTGGACTATGTCATTATTTGGATGCAAATTGGTGTTTAAGCGTTTTTTGATATGAGAAATTTGATTTCAATATCAATATGATTCTTACTTGTAAGGACGCCACCTACATATTTTTGAATTGGTTTGAAGATTAATAACTTCGTCTGTACGAATATGCTGGCGGAGTTTCCACAATACACTTCGGACCACCCTGTATAAGATAAATCAGGATTTATAGACGTATTGAACTGTTTTCGTCTACTTCCTGTTTCACCGGAAATGACTACAACTTTTGATTTTTATATGGTACCCTCGGTATTTTTTTACTTTATTCGATAAAAAATGACATTCTGAATAGAATGACATATCATATATCAACTTTTGACATTCTCGCTTAAAAAATCGTATATGCCATGGTTATGTTAAAAATAAAATAAAAAAATACCGAGTGTGTCATTTAAAAATCAAAATTGGTGTAAAAATCAATCATTTCCGGTGAATCAGGAAAAATACCTACATAAGTAAAAAATTAAATTTTGATTACCTACATGATGAATGTACTACTTACTTATCCTGCAACCGGATCCTGTACTATTACTTCTCAGCTAACTCACTTTTTTTTTCATTTGACCGTCTGACTAACTACTGATTAACTGTTTGACTATCAACTGACTAACGAACTTACTATGAATTTGACTAACGAACTTACTATGACCCCGCTATTAGTGAAATCACTGATAATTCATATAAAAACTACATCAACATATTAATGTTTACAAATATTACTCAGATAAATAATGCAGGAAAGTTTGAGTCATTCTTGAACTCACAGGGATTAGCAGAGTAATTGATCAAAAAGATCAGTTAGAATGGAATCACTAAGTTAAGTAAGATAATAAAATTTGGTAAACGAATAATAAACATTTTAGAGCAATGGCTTTTTCTATCAATCTTCTACTTGGTCGTTTGCTAACAGTGGGTGGCAATTTGATGGTACCATTGTTGGTAGAGCTTGGCTGCGCACCGCCTTTCTTGACTTGGGGTAGTCTCAGTTTAGGTAAGCAAATATACCGTATGATCCAATAAAAATAAAGTGCGTGTGTTAAAATGCGATTAATACATAAATGAAATCTTTCATTTCATCTCATAAATATATGAGGTGTGTTTTGAAACCTGTTATTTTTACTAAATTTAATTAACAATGGATCTGTAAGGTCGAAGTGATTAACCCCCCTCCCACTCTCATTCTACTAAATTTAATTAAATATAATTATATTTTGTTTTTAGTTGCGCTGCTGTTGTCCTGTCTAATCCCTAACACCGAAAAACTGGATATGAAGTAACTGAACTATGAAATTGATGCAAATAAATGACTGATTATATTTTAAGGCAAATTTGACTTGCAAAATGTGAATAATTAACTGTGTTGCTAAAGTTTCCTTTTTTATGTGCAATATATTTAATGCAATTGTTTTTTTAATAAAATATACGTTAAAAATTTTTGATTTTTATTTATTTATCTATATTTATACCTGGCTGATACTTGTCCTCTTCACTGTAGAGTAAACATTTGAAACAACCTGTTTCTTTCTATCTCTCTTAATGTTGGTATACCGAGGGTGTCTCAAAAGTGGCTCACCTCTATAACGTTTTTATTTTTTCAGATAAAAAACGATTTTTGATATGTTGCTATATGACATAAATTAGGATTGATTGACGTATTCAATTGTTTCGGGTCGCTTCCTATATTTTACCCGAAATGATTACAACTTTTGATTTTTAAATGGCATCCTCGGTATATTTTTACTTTATTCGATAAAAAATGACACCCTGAATAGAATGACATATCAACATATTATATGTCAACTTTTGATAATTTCCCTTAAAAAATAGAATTTTAAATTTCAATCTAGGGTGCCATGGCTGTATTAAGATACGCGCACACTGACCAGAGTCGCACGCACCGCACGCGCCGCATCGACCGAAGAAAAATATTGTTTGTGTTACCACAGATTATACACTTTGTTTTTTCTTTATTTTTCGTGGTTCCAATTTTCGGAATCGGGCACTGGTTAGGTTACTAGTTTGCGCACATAGCACGCCCACTTATGGCCTCTAAAATTATTACAGTATTTACGCGTACCTTATCATGGTTACGATATGCGCGAGTCAATTTTTAACGCAAAACCCGCTAATAACATTACCGCCTGACGTAATTTCCGGATCAATTACACCAAGCGCTATTTCTAAATAATGTTTAAAAATTGCTTAAATGGGCATGTGCGGGTATTTGACAACCGGGGCCGGCCGGCCGGCGAGATCTTTTATTTTAGATTATGTTTGAATTGTTTTGAATTCTTACTTTAGTTTTATTAGGTAATTTGTTATTTAAGTAGCTGGGATTAGTTTTAATTAAATAAATATGGCCCAAAATATGGATTCCACCTCTTCCAATATTAAAGAACCTATAAAAAGGCTTAGGTTTACAGCAGATGACGACTTAGCCCTTCTAAGAGAATTTGTTGTTTTGTTGCCCTAAATTCATTGGTAGACGTTGAACAATAAAGCACTGGAAATAAGCACTTAGCCCTTTAGTTTTAAAATACCTAGTAAACAAAAAAAATTAAAGTTTTAAAATCAAAGTTAGGTTAAGTTTAAATAGACACTACGCGAACGCCGATAACTATAAATGAAGAGAGTTAATACCACCTCACGTAAAGGAAATAATACCTGGTCTTATTAACGTCCATGAGTACCACGCGTTTTCGTACCACGAATTAGGGATAAGATTTTTATCTGTATACATATAATATACCTAATCTGTGGTGTTACAATGAAGGTGCGCACACTAGCCAGCGCCGCACGAATCGCATCAACGAAAATGCGGCCAGCATTGTTGGGCCAGAATGGTTTTCGGTAAATGCAGCTAGTGCTGCTGACGTCACACGCAATTCCTTCCACTCTACGTGGGTAGCCGAATCGAACTAGCAGAAGAGATTAGAAATTCATTATACTAAGAAAGTTCGCAAACTTTTCATGGCTCATTTTGAAATATTGAAAAAATTTTAGTTCGTCCTCAATTAAATATGGTAATAATGTGTGGAATTCCCCTCCTAAAGGTAAAATTTTTGCAAATGTTGTGAACCCATAACTTTCGATTCTTTCTCGTGATTTCTTCTTCTTCTATTAGCAAGGAGCTCATAATTATTTCTTGTTCGTTGTCATTCATTGTCGAGAAATATTAAAAAAAACACGCTTATCACTGCAGACAGGACTCCGGCAAATACTTGTGTAGTAGGGGCAAAAAGAAACAAAAGAGCGAATAATACGGTGAGTGCGGAGCGTTCGGTACCGGTGAGTGTGCGCGACAAGAAAAAAAAGTGCGATTCGTGCGGCGAGTGCGGCGCTGGTCAGTGTGCGCGTACCTTTAAGAACACTAATTTTTAATCAAGGATCCTTGAAAAAATAGATTTGATCGTCTAATGTTTTTCGTGTTTTGTCCTGGCCATTTAAAAGATGTCCAAATCGTATTTTTAATCATATCTCAATTTTTTCAAATGGAATAAGGATGGCTCATTAGCATATTTTGAAAAACCATTTTTTTATGAATAATTTGGTACCACATAGGTATGTACTATATAAGGTATGTACTATAAGATTATATCCATTGCCACTTATAATATTAGAACGATGAGAACAAATGACCACTTGGAAGAATTAGAACAAGAACTGGGTAATATTAATTAGGACATAGTAGGCCTATGCAAAACAAGGTTGCAAGGAGAAAAAATGACAACTCTAAATTCTGGACACGATATGTTTCAAAACAACTCAGAAACAAATCATAGCCAAGGAGGAGTAGCTTTTATTGTAAACAACAAATTCAAACACCTCGTCACTAAATATCATTCAGTATCAAATAGAGTGATATATCTAATAATACGCGCTTAAACCAAAGATACAGTATCCAGCTGATACACTGCTATGCACCTACAAGCTCAGCGAGCAGTGAATTGATCGAGGAATTATATGAAGACATTAGCCGGGCTAGGAACCTTGAAAATACACATTACGTAATCATAACTGGAGACTTTAACGCCAAGATAGGGAAAAAGCAACCGGGTGATACAAACTACATAGGAAACTTTGATCTCGGGGAACGGAACGACAGAGGAGACATGCTTGTAAACTTTGTCAACAACGAAAAATTATACTGTATGAATACTTTTTTATCAAAAACAAACTCAGAAAAAATAGACATGGCGGAGTCCAGACGGACGAGTAAAAAATCAAATAGACTTTATCCTCACCAACAAGAATACAATCTGTAAAGATGTCGATGTGTTAAACAGTTTTCGTACAGGAAGTGACCACAGACTAGTACGCGCCAAAATACAAATTTATACTAATATAGAAAGAAGAAAATTAATTACCAGGTCAATGTTTCCTACAAGGGACGCTCTACAACTAAATCAGGAAACCTATCAAAAAGAGCTTGAAAAGAGACTAAAGCCACAGACACTCAGAGATCAAGACCCCAACGACATTCTCAATAATCTAAGGCAGGGCATAACTACAGCAACAAAGAAAATATGTAGTAAAATGAAACACCCTTCGAAACTAAATTAAAACCAGAAACGACAAAACTAATAAGGGAAAGAAGAAAGACTGACAGAGATACCCCAGAATATGACACCTTAAATAAAACAACTAAAAGAGAAATAAGAAAAGATCTAAGGGATTATAAGAGAAACCAAATTTTGGAAACAATTGAAAACAATAGAAGCATGAAAGTATTAAGACGCAAGCAAATGCGCGGAAAACAAAAAATAATAAAAATAAGAAACACACATGGCACTATAACAACAGACAAACATGAAATTAGAAATGAAATTCACAAATTCTACGAACAACTTTATCAGTCTGTTATACCAAACAAAGGTAGAGTACAAAAACACATCACAAACGTAGGATCAGAAGATATGCCAGAAATATCAACCACAGAAATTAAATACGCACTTCAACAAATAAAAAATGGTAAAAGCCCAGGAGAAGATCGTATTACACCTGAAATGCTGAAGATGGGCGGAAAACCATTAGTGGATGCCGTGGAAGTATTGTTAAATAAATGTCTCATGAAGGGTAGAATCCCGGACGCATGGAAAAACCCAGAAGTTGTGCTATTATACAAAAAAGGAGATTTTACAAATATAGAGAATTATAGACCAATAAGCCTTCTCTCGCATCTATACAAGCTCTTCACTAGGATTATCAACAACCGACTGTCTACGAAACTAGATTCCTATCAGCCAATAAACAGGTAGGCTTTCGAAAAGGTTTTAGTACTATCGATCATCTACAAACAATTAAAACAGTCATTGAAAAAACAACAGAATACAATATACCTCTACATTTGGCCTTTATAGACTACCAAAAAGCCTTTGACAGCATCGAAACCTGGTCATTTCTAGCTGCAATGGAGGACGCGAGAATTGATTCCAGATATTATTCCATTATTAAAAATATCTATGATAGGCAACCTTCCAAGTTAAATTAGATGATGACCTCAAAACAGAAAAAATACTACTCGGCAAGGGCGTGAGACAAGGAGATACCATCTCTCCCAAGTTATTTACACTGGCACTGGAAAATGTCTTCAAGAAATTAGAATGGGAAAATAGAGGTCTAAACATCGATGGGGTACACCTTAGCCATCTGAGGTTCGCAGACGATATTGTCTTGCTGAGCACCGACATTCAAGAACTAAACACCATGCTAAATGAGCTAAATGACCAATCCCAGAAAATTGGCCTTAAAATGAACTTGAAGAAGACCAAGATAATGAGCAACAATATCCATAACATTACCGTTGACAACGTTATTATTGAAAACGTAGACCATTATATATATTTAGGTCATAAAATCAAGCTGGGCAAGGAAAACCAAAATACGGAGATCAAACGCAGGATCCATTTGGCATGGGTAGCATTTGGAAATATGAGCAATATTTTCAAGGATAAAAAGGTGCCCATGAACCTAAAGAAAAAGGCTTACGACAGCTGCATTCTACCTGTGCTTACGTATGGCTTAGAGACTATGGCAATTACCCGAAAAACAGCAGAACAACTACGAGTAGCACAAAGAGCCATGGAAAGAATCATGTTGGGAGTCACCATTAGGGAAAAAATACGGATACCCACATACGTCAAAAAACAAAATTAATAGATGTCGTTAAAAGAGTGGCAAGTCTGAAGTGGCAATGGATAGGACATGTGGCAAGACAGGATCCAGACCGATGGCCCCAAAAAGTAATCCTATGGAGACCTAGGGGAACAACAAGAAGTGTGGGCCGACCAAAAAAGAGATGGGTCGATGACGTCAGGGCAGTGGCGGGAAGACAATGGATAAGATTGGCTAGAGATCGCGAAGCATGGAAAAACCTAGAAGAGGCCTATATCCAACACTGGATGGAACCAGGCTGAGAAAGAAGAAGAGAAAGA